TTATAAAAACCGCAAAATGTCATCCAGCACCCCGGCATGAATGTTTAAACACTAAACCAGTCACATTTCACAAGTTACCTGTTACATGTTAAAATTGTGCGCATGTTTATTCGTTCATGCAGAACATTTCTTCGGACTGAGACGTTGCTGTCGTCACACAATCCGTAACTGCTGTTTCATCCCTGTGTACTGTACATGTGATGTCACCGCTCAGGCTGCAGGCTACTGTTTATGAACAGATGGTGAAGAACACAGTCTCATTTGTGTGTAATAAGTCATTACTAATTGTCTGCAGATTGGATCAATGTCCTATTCTGCTACAGCGCAGCTCTCAGTCTGCATTTCCACAGCTACCATTTATCAGTGCTGGTAGATGGTAGCTGAGGAAAAGTCCTTTTCATCTCATCATTAAAGCAATTTCACTGGAACTGGTCAAATTATGCCAATAAATGGTTTCTTTTGTGGAGAAAATGAACCAATGGGAACAGACTTTTAAGGGTTTTAAGGCACAGACGCCTGTATTCCCACACACAGTCGCCATGCACCAGCTATGCTCTAATTTTTCCTATCAGTTGGTGATGCCATCCACTTAAATCCTAAGAAGCTTATTGATTATTTCTTAAGATATGTCACTCACTTTTCACGATTGGAAATGAAAACCCTCTGCAGTAAGCCGGAGCTACAGTATTACCCTCTGTGGTGTGATGGACTGGGAGAATGGTCATAAGAAGTTTGGCCTTATAGCTACTGAAGGCTTCCTCACTAAGGCGACTTGATGACCCGGTCCTCGGCTGTCAGTTACACTATGTGCATCACTGCCTTTTCCACTGCAGCAGATACATGTCCGCCCAGGCTGAGACTCAAAGTGGAGAGACGTTTGTGCAGCTGAGATTTAATACCAAAACTGTATGCAGAGATACTCACATCAGGCTTATCTTAGGCAGTACAAGTGTGACTCAGCCGGGTTTGTAGAGCACACAGGGACATTTTGAGATGTTACGAGCTTAAGTGTAAGAATTTTAAACTAAACATTTGCCTCAGGTCTTTAGCTCAGCGTATCTGACATATGCTTTTGATGTGATGGGACTCACCTGGTGTTTATTCTGCAGTAATTTGTTCTCATTAGGTCATTATTTTTATCAAAGTGATATTATTATGTTAGTTTCTTAGGGCACATCACTGATTGACACCTGTAGCTTTTAACATCAAGCAGTGGCATTGCACAGGACTTTGAAAGCATTAAAAGGAAACTTTGCTCATTTTAAACTGGCTCTGTGTCATTGCAGTGAAGGCAGTGTGTGCAGAAGAACAGTGTTATGTCTCCACAGACCTCGAACAGCAAATGAGTGAAGAGCTCCAGGCTCTGGTGGCACGAGGGAAGCCAAGTGCCATTCATTTGCACACACTATCCACAATGCAATGACACAGACCTGGTTGGAAAATCGGCATAGTTTCCCTTTAAGCACTGAGTACGTGTCAGTATTAGTGGATTAACATCTTAATTTTATCAGTGTCATGCACTACTATTTTTTTATAATGTACTTATTGCGTAACTGGTTGAGCATCATGATTAGAGGCAAGTCTTGTTTTTAGCCACTTACCAATAATAAACTATTTATATAGCACCTTTCAAAACACAGTGACAGTGCTGTACAATAAAACTAAACACAATTAAAACACAAGGAGAATAAAACAAACAGCATGTCATAAAATGCCATCTAGTAAAAGATAAAATAAGGAAGGCCAAGGCTAAAATCAAGATAATAAATGGGAAATAACATTAATAAGGTAGCAATAAAATAGACTGCTCAGATAAAGTTCGGATTCCAAGTCATTCCAGGGCCTCGGGGCTCTGTCCCCTTTGGTTTTCAGTCTGGACTCTGGGACAAGCTGAAGACCTCTGCCTGAGGATGTCAAACTATGCAGAGGTTTATAAGGTACTAACAGGTCTGAAATGTAGTCTGGAGCCAGGCCATAATGAGCCTTAAAAGTAATTAATACGATTTTAAAATCAATCCTAAAACAAACAGGGAGCCCATGTAAACAGGCTAAAACTGGTTTGATGTGGTCGTGCTTCTTGGTTTTGGTGAAAAGCCTGTTCTGAACAATCTGAAGTCATTGCAAGGTTTTTTGATTAATAAAAATAAAGGCTGTTGCAATAATCAAGACGCAAAGAGATAAGAGCATGTATAAGAGTTTCTGTATCTCTAAAAGTTAAAAGAGATCTTATTTTAGCAATATTTCTGAGGTGATAAAAGCATGATTGGACAAGCTTATTGACATGTTCAAAACATAAATTACTATAAAACATGACACAAAGATTTCTTGCAACTGGCTTCATGTGTTGAGGCAGGTAACCAACAGATTGCAGTATTTGTTTCGTGATATGCTGTGACCCAATTACAAGGAGTTCTGTTTATTAGAATTGAGCTGAAGAAAAGTTGTGTTGTGTTCTGGTGTTGTGTAAACACCTGAACACAACACCAGAACACTCCTGAAAACTGGCAATGGAAACACAAATCAGTGCGGCATGGCTTTACTCGGCACGGCCAAGAGTGACAATGGAAAAAGAACACAACACCTGGACACAACACCTGGACACAACACCTGAACACACCTGAACACAACAACTGAACACAACATCAGAACACACCACCTGAACACACCAGAACACAACACCTAAACACACCTGAACACACCTAAACACACCTGAACACAACACTTGCACACAACACCTGAACACACCTGAACACAACGCCTGGACACACCTGAACACAACACCTGAACACACCTAAACACACCTGAACACAACGCCTGAACACAATGCCTGAACACAATGCCTGAACACAACGCCTGGACACAGCTGAACACAACACCTAAATGCACCTGAACACAACACCTTAACACATCACCTGAATACAACACTTGGACACACCTGAACACAACACCTGAACACAATGCCTGAACACAACGCCTGGACACAGCTGAACACAACGCCTAAACGCACCTGAACACAACACCTGAACACACCTGAACACAACACCTAAACACACCTGCATACACCTGAACACAACGCCTGAACACACCACCCGAACACACCTGAACACAACACTTGGACACACCTGAACACAACACCTGAACACACCTAAACACACCTGAACACATCACCTGAATACAACACCTGGACACTGAAACCTCCTGGCAGGATGCGCTTTCCAAGCAAACCAAAAAAAATATCTGCATGCCCAAAGGCATAATTTTTGTGGAATCATGAAACTGACTGGTTATGGTTAGGTGTTGCATAAGTAACTGGTCAGGTTAGAGCAAGGTTGGATTCCTGTCAAGGTCAGAGAAAACACAGACTGATGTTGCATTTGGTCACACAAGCTTTGCCACTCGAAACTTTAAACGACTTTGAAAGTAGCTACCCAAATGCTTTTGCCAAACATTGTTAAAGTTGTAGATTTGCTGCTCCACAACACTTATAATTTGTACCATCAGAAAATATCTCTCATTATGTATTTCTGCTGTTTCATGGTTGAAGTGTGAAACATTACTGACTCTCTGTTGACTCACTGTCAAACTAAAGGTCAAAGTGTGTTACATGTACACTGGTGTTACCCACAGACGGACTCAAACAGCTCCTTTCCTTGCCCTCTTTTCTCTCCATCTCCTCCCCTCCATTACTTGACATTTTTAGACCTAACCAGGCGCACACATTGACCATATCCTGTGTTTTTATTTCCAGTGTCATTCCCTGCTCAGCACTCAGCTGATTTTATCATCTCCATCAGTACATCATTAACCTTTAAGCAATGTATGTTTTCAAATCACGTACAGTGTTGTTTTTTTCCTCCCCGCTGTTGATTTAAGAAACGAGCCCGTCTCTAATGGTTTTTCTCATTCAGCGAATCACTTTTATGTATTTTCAAAGGCAGCCTTTCCATCATCTCCTCTGCCCTGTGTATCAACAGCAGCCTCTCTGCAGCGGTGGGAGTCTATCACCCCGTTTCACAGGAAATTGAACACTCACTCACGTTACTGTACTGTATATCTCAGCAACGTGCGATGAGTCAGGGTCTGACGAACATCAAAAATTAAAAACACATGCTTGCCCGCGTACACATATGCATAAACACACACACATACAAATGGCAGTATTCCCGGACTTTCAGGGGAGCTACATTCATACATCATTAAGTGAATCTTGGTGTTATTATGGAGAAGATGCAGTGAATTAGATGGCCTGAAAGACTGTGTCAGGGGCTGCAATCCTATCAGGACTGGATAATAAAAAGACACTTAATCTCACCAGTTCCCCACAGTCCTTCTTTGCACGCAGAATAAAAAATCCTGACGCCCGCTCTGCACTCTAACCGTCCTTGTCAAATTCTCCTCCTCCCTCCGTCCCATCCTAAAATATAAGAGCAATAATTACGACTTAATCTCCTCAATCTCCGCCATTCATCCGCCAAAATATTTCCCATGAAGAGGCATGGAGTTATGGCCCAGCAATGTAAAATGTGTTTATTACCTCCTCTGCAACGTGATAATGTGCCATAAAAATGGGTGCCTGTGCGTGTATGCATGTCCGGGCGATGATCAGCTAATTTATGAGGACCTTGGCTCATCAGTGGGACCTGGGGTGAGAGACAGGAGAACGGCAGGACGGGGTTGACTCAGCACATTGTCCTTCGTCTGGCGAGCATCAGTCATGATAAACAGGGGCACGACAGACGCAACAACAGCCAATCCGTCACCTTGTAGAAAGTCATAGAAACCGGGACGAGTCTGCGTACTGTCTGGCCACTCGACTCTTTCTCTGTCTCTGTCAGAGAGCGGCGAGAGGATGGGCTCAGTCAGGATAATGAGAGTAGCATTATGCTGGCTCACTGCCTGTCATAGTTTGTCAACATTCAAGGCACTTTAGTAATGTTCTTTCTCTGTAGAAAATGAATTATAAATCCACATCTGTCTCCCTGCTCTGTCCGTCTTTACAGTGGAGAACAACCCATGCCAGACCAACCCCTGTCTCCACGGAGGGAGCTGCCTGCAGGAAGGTGATGGCTATAGCTGCTACTGTCCTCAGGGCTTCTCAGGAGAGAGCTGCGAGATTGGTGAGTCACTGCCCGGTCAGGGCTGAGCGAAAGACCTCAGAGGTCAGCAGCTGCAGGCAGATGCTGTGTCACTGTGGCATACGGGAAAGAGAGACGGGCATATGTTGGCATAACATTTACCAGATGTACCCTACTGTGCTGTGAATTCAGGAGGAAAGCACCAACAAGTTTCCCAAAGTGAGTTTTGTTTCCTTATTTGTTAGTTGGATTCAATCTCAACGCTCTCAAAGTCGAGAGGAGCTTTTCTGTCAGGTCCAGTAGTTTTGGATCAAGCTGGCTGACTGAAAGTGAACAGGGAATATCCATATGCTGCGAGTCAGCCAGTTGTGACAGAGGTTGCTGAATGTTGTGCTATATGCACTCAGCTGTGTGTGTGTGCATTTGTGTGTGTGCAGGTTTTCACCTTCTGCCCCAGGAGTAGTTGGCAGCTCATCTTTCCTCTCAGCTGTGTGGTGGGAGAATGTGGCTGTCAGAAAATGGTTGTGTGTGGGTGGGTGTGTGTAGGTGTGTGTGTGAGCTTGTGACTGAGACATGCAAGGACACATTGGCCACAGAGGAGCCCTGATCGGGATCAGTGAGAGATGGAGGAGCTGATTAAAGTGCTGAGGGAAAACAGGAAAATAAGAAAAGAAGTAGATGTGGCACTGGCAGAAAATATCAAAGTAGACTTGAAGAAATTCAGCATCATGAACCTCACTCTGTTAGACTGAGCTGTAACACATCACACTTGATACAGAGTCGTTGTCGAAGGCGTTCAGTCTGGCACATTGATTCTGGGCCCCGGCCAAAGGACCGTGGGTTGAACCATAGTAAATATTAGATTGCATTAGAGGCTGGACTCTTTTTGTGGTGTATTGTGGGCAATTAAAACTCTACTCTTACATTTATGGCTTTCAAGGCTTCTCTTTCTCTTAGTAGCTTTTTTTTTTTCAAAGCTTATTTCGAGCACTGAGCTCCATTTGCTGTATCTATTAAGGCCTTGGAGTAAATCAAAGGCCATTCCTGTTTTTATGATTAAATATGTGGTGTTTATCTGAGTATAAGTGCTGTAAGGATCAAGTTTAAATAGTCATTAGACAGATGCAACATCGAAATTCTTTTCCCTGACTCCCTAAATTGGCAAAGAGCACATTGAATCTTTTGTTAGTCCAACTTCTCTGTGCTCTGTGTTAAATATTCATGCATACAAAGACAACAGCTGAGGTTTCAAGGGTCAGTACTTAAAGAAGAAGGTCATAGATCAGGGGTCAGAGGTCATGTGAGACATATTGTCTTGGGTCTGATTATCAATAACTTTTAGTTCTTATACCTAAAAGAACATATTATGCAGCATTTAGGTGTGCCTGTGCATAAACACCATTGGTAATCAATTGGCAATCTGCCATTAGGATCAATACCTTGTGACAAATGCATGTTAACTGCATGAATTACACACACATGTAGTTTGTAATGATTTGCTGCAGTCGATGTGGTTTAAGGTTTGATATTGAATGAGGCAAACTTAATGTTTTCTTTGAGAAGCAATTGGAATGAATTATGGTATTTTAGCCTAAATATTGGGGGGCGGGGGGGGGAGCACATTCATAAAATATTTGTTATTTACTGATTACTTCTGCGCTTGTGTGTCTGTCCTTCGGCTTTCTTCTCTCAGGAGTGTTTAATTGCCTTTCCCTGTGTTACTAAAGTGTTGTGATGTTGATTATGTTGCCAAACAGCTGCATATCTGATGTTTTTAATATTAATTACGGCCAAAGGCAAAAAGGTTAATTGCTTATTACAGCAAACGCTTGACCACAATTTTACCAACTTAACACATTGCTGCTGCAGAGGAATTAGGCCGTGAGGGAAGTGGGGCTTAATTTCAATGATGCATTGCACATCCGCAGCCTCTGTGCGCATCAGTTCATCAGTAATGGTTGACCATCTTACTGAAGGTCGTTTGCTTTCTCTTTTGGCTCCCAAACTAGTTTAGATACACCCACCACAGCCCCATTATAGCCCATTGAGAGGCATATAAACCAATATCCCCTGCACTGCCTCTGCTCTCCACGTGAAATGATTATTTAGGCAAAATGAGGCACCACAGCTGCAATGCACCTTAGAGTCTGTCTCCAGGACTTGGCTTGGAGCTGCAATTATTTGGGAAGAAGCGTTTTTGGGAGCTGCATTATTGATGGCCTGTGTTTCTACTGTGGGTCTGTAGTTAATATTTATGAGTTCAGGGGGAGAGAACGAGAGAGAAGCTGTGGACACCTCAGTGTTAGCACTCCAGCTCCACTAGATCCTCATCTTTAGAAAGTCCTTCACTTCATCTGTATTCCTAACTTAATCTAAATTGATTCGGGGCTGTCAGTAGAGACGCACGGACTATAGCGTGGAGTACCCTTATTAAAAATCTAAGCTTAAGGTTATTGTTTGCCATTGATCAGCAGGACTGTTTTGTAAAGTCTGGATCCTGCAGCAGTATAAGTGATTAATGAGGCACAGCACAGCCTGTCAGTTTGATGGCCATGTGTTGAGATACAATAATGAAATATATTTTCCTTCCCCACAGCTGAAATCAACATTTGTTTGCAGATAAGAGAGAATAAAATATAGCCCATAACAGAGATGTAAACAAAATACACCTCTGCTCTGGGGGATTCTTCTCTTCCACTGATTATTTTGCTAAATATTTCAGTCTTAATAGCTCTCGTAGTTGTTGTGCAACATCTTCTGATGCTAAGCTAGGGCACATCTTCAGTGATCATCGGGTGGTACGGTCTCTGGAACATGAGACACCCTCGCTCAGCCGACCCAACTGAGGTTGATCAAGCCTCAGCTTGTGCCCGAGCTGCACTCGCCCACAGATTCGCTCTCTTAATCCAGAGCCACCTGGAGGCTTTCTTTGCCGCCCCCGTACTGTTACAGATGACCCTCCTCCTCCTCCTCCTCGTCCTCTCGCCTGTGATGCAGAGTGCAGAGTAAGCCCTACAGAGTCCTGTCCCGCACAGCCTATGCACCCTACCTCCGCGGGCAAACGCTTCGCCTTCCAGTCTTGTCCTGGCAGTCGCTGACTAAGTCCCTGTACTTACCCCTCTTGTGCTCGAAAGCCTCCTCCATACAGTCCTCCCAAGGCACTGTCAGCTCCAGCATGACTGTGTCCTTGGTTGCCTCTTGAACCAGGACAGTGTCAGGTCTGAGGGTGGTCTTTGCTACATGCTGAGGGAACTTGAGTTGCTTACCCAAGTCCACCATTAGTGTAGAGGAGCCCTGATGTTGCCGTGGTTGTTGCTTGTGTCCAGGGGCATCTATTGGAGTGGTATAATGTTCATGTGTACATTTTCATCGGTTTAAAACCACCTGAAGCTAAGAATAGTTGTGTTATTATTTTCTTAGAATGAGCCGTTTATATCTACATACTGAGTGGGTCGTCTCCCACTCAGTTCACCATGAGTAACAGTAACCCAGAACAGACAAATCAAACACAGGCTCTTAAAAGGGCCATTCCTGTTTTTGCGTCGACCACTGTAGTTCACCTACACACCCTCTGCACACAGGAGAAGTCTCAGTTATGCAACCTCACCGCTAGATGCCTCTAAATCCTACACACTGGCCCTTTAAAAGGACTTAATATAAATCAAGCTCGGCAACGCAGTCAAAATACCACTCGAAATGTCTTTGTGCATTCTACAGAGTAATTCAGATTGAACAAGCCACTCTGTATGCAAGAGCACATGGCGTGTAAACAAAGGGAAATAGCACTGAAAGTGTACAACGAGAACAAATTATGGAGGGATTTGAGATTTCAGGCGGCGTGAGAGTGTGTTGGCAACGCTGTAAAATGTGAAATTATGCTGTGTTACTAGATTTTAGCACTGATGAACAATTATATTCATGATATTACATACTAAGCTAAAAACCTAAAATAAAAGTCAGAGCAACAGACGCAGAGCATCCCTGTAACCATGGTAACACACCCTAACTCCCGCAGAGAACAGGGAGAGCCACTGGCTGAGATCACTCTGAGCATCATGGGAATACATTACAGTGTAATAGATTTCCCCCTGATGGTCAGAATAACTTGCTAGATTTGTTGCTAGTTGCTTTATAGAAATAAAGTTGCTGAGAGAGTGAAAATCCAGCAAGAAAGTCTATTGAGTGTGTGTGTGGGAGAGAGTGTGTGTGTCAGTCACCCTCATGTGATTCAATCGGTGGGAACATCTACATTCGCCCCAAAAGATTCATTGATTGTATGAGCTCATAATTCATATTCATATTAAATATTTTTGGCAGTATAAAAAGACCCATGGCTTTAGCCCCATTGCTGTGCCTTAAAGCCACAGTTGGTAACTTTGATTCAAGATTCAGTGTGTTGTGCTGCCTAGCCTTTGACTACAGTTCACAAGCGGTGATTGACATGAGTTCCATTTTACTCCTTGGCTCTGATTGGTTGTTTTCGTTCATGTGCGATAAGGCCATTAGAAGCGCTACAAGGCAATAGAGCAGGCAGAGGAATTTTTTTATTTTTTTATTTTTTATTTCAGATTATCTGTCTCATTTAGTGCTGTTTGAATACAGTGACAGTTTCAGCAAGTATGACAAAATTATTTTTTATAGGAGTTGCTAGCTAACAGCGTTGGTGGACCGGTGTAAAATTTTTCAAACTGGTTGGATATTAGGAGTTGGACCGGACCAGACTGGTATACTGAATTTTATGCACTTTGACTCAGCAGCCTCCCACAAGTGGAGCATGATGACACCATGTCCCAACAGCAAACTAGCTTCCAACTATTATCCTATTGCATTGCATAATGTCAGAACACTCTGTCCACATTGAATCCATTAAATATGCACTTCTGTCACATCATATAAACAAACCAAGTATCTATCAGCTGTGTGCTCCAGACCAGACTGGATATGTAACCACTTAAAAGGTGTTTGAGCAGCCTACTTGCTATCGTCCTATGTTTGTACTGTTACTTTTTAAAACAGAAAACAAGTTTTATATTGTGGTATTT